CTTCCTGTTTCATGGCGAATCATCGACGCCACGGACACGCCCATCGACGAAAACGCGCAGATAGCACAACTTTACATCGTCAATGCCTTTAGAAGGCACAGCAGAAATTTGAAGTCGATCCGACTAAAGCCCTAGGAGGAGTTAGTTAAAGTACGTAATGAGTAAATCATCCAAAAATGGCGGTAAAATTAGAAATGGCTGACTTCCTGTTGAGTTTAGGGCATCGCTCCAAGAGACTTTTCTGTGCGTCTGGACATGGTAGATGTACCACAGAAATTTCGTACATGTCGGTCAAACATGCGACGGGGGCTGCTTCGTTAAATGTCACTTCCTCTTGCCACTAGGTGGCGCTATGAATGTGGGTGAATGTCGGCATGTAGATTTGTTCAGGGCGGGACTCTTGTCAAATGTGTAAAATTTCGTGCAGATCTGGGCATTTACAGCCAAGTTACTACAACTTCCTGTTTCATGGCGAATCATCGACGCCACGGACACGCCCATCGACGAAAACGCGCAGATAGCACAACTTTACATCGTCAATGCCTTTAGAAGGTACAGCAGAAATTTGAAGTTGATCCGACTAAATCCCTAGGAGGAGTTCGTTAAAGTACGGAGTGTGTAAATCGTCCCAAATCGGTCGCCGAAATCAAAATGGCGGACTTCCTGTCGAGTTTAGGGTATGGGTTCTTGAGGCTTTTTTGTGCGTCTGGTCATGGTAGATGTACCACAGAAATTTCGTACATGTCGGTCAAACAAGCGGCGGGGGCTGCTTCGTTAAAGGTCACTTCCTGTTGCCAGCAGGTGGCGCTATGACTGTGGGTGAATGTCGGCATGTAGATTTGTTCAGGGCGGGACTCTTGTCAAATGTGTAAAATTTCGTGCAGATCTGGGCATTTACAGCCAAGTTACTACAACTTCCTGTTTCATGGCGAATCTTCGACGCCACGGACACGCCCATCGACGAAAACGCGCAGATAGCACAACTTTACATCGTCAATGCCTTTAGAAGGCACAGCAGAAATTTTAAGTCGATCCGACTAAATCCCTAGGAGGAGTTCGTTAAAGTACGGAGTCTGTAAATCGTCCAAAAATGGCCGCCAAATTCAAAATGGCGGACCTCCTGTCGAGTTTAGGGTATGGGTTCTTGAGGCTTTTTTGTGCGTCTTGATATGATACACGTCCCCACCAAATTTCGTGCATGTAGGTTGAACGTGGACGAGGGGCTAATTTTTTCCAATTTTCTAGGTGGCGCTAGCGTGCCATTTTGCCCCGCCCATCTGCGAAACCCACAAAATACGAAATTTTTCACCAGTCCTGACATGCGTGCCAAATTTGGTGAGTTTTTGAGCATGTTGCGGCCCCGAAAATGGCACTTACTTTGCAGAAAAAAGAAAAAAAAAATAAATAAAAAAAAAAATAATAATTAAAGCTGCAAGCAGCGATGGGCGGGCCCTCGCACCTGTAGCGTGTTGGGGTGTGAGGCGGCCGCGTTGCATATTCTGCAGCTCAGCCAGTGCGGCTGTGCATTTGCTACGCTGCTTCGTTAAAGGTCACTTCCTGTTGCCAGCAGGTGGCGCTATGACTGTGGGTGAATGTCGGCATGTAGATTTGTTCAGGGCGGGACTCTTGTCAAATGTGTTAAATTTCGTGCAGATCTGGGCATTTACAGCCAAGTTACTACAACTTCCTGTTTCATGGCGAATCATCGACGCCACGGACACGCCCATCGACGAAAACGCGCAGATAGCACAACTTTACATCGTCAATGCCTTTAGAAGGCACAGCAGAAATGTGAAGTCGATCCGACTAAAGCCCTAGGAGGAGTTAGTTAAAGTACGTAATGAGTAAATCATCCAAAAATGGCGGTAAAATTAGAAATGGCCGACTTCCTGTTGAGTTTAGGGCATCGCTCCAAGAGACTTTTCTGTGCGTCTGGACATGGTAGATGTACCACAGAAATTTCGTACATGTCGGTCAAACATGCGACGGGGGCTGCTTCGTTAAAGGTCACTTCCTGTTGCCACTAGGTGGCGCTATGACTGTGGGTGAATGTCGGCATGTAGATTTGTTCAGGGCGGGACTCTTGTCAAATGTGTAAAATTTCGTGCAGATCTGGGCATTTACAGCCAAGTTACTACAACTTCCTGTTTCATGGCGAATCATCGACGCCACGGACACGCCCATCGACGAAAACGCGCAGATAGCACAACTTTACATCGTCAATGCCTTTAGAAGGTACAGCAGAAATTTGAAGTTGATCCGACTAAATCCCTAGGAGGAGTTCGTTAAAGTACGGAGTGTGTAAATCGTCCCAAATCGGTCGCCGAATTCAAAATGGCGGACTTCCTGTCGAGTTTAGGGTATGGGTTCTTGAGGCTTTTTTGTGCGTCTGGTCATGGTAGATGTACCACAGAAATTTCGTACATGTCGGTCAAACAAGCGGCGGGGGCTGCTTCGTTAAAGGTCACTTCCTGTTGCCAGCAGGTGGCGCTATGACTGTGGGTGAATGTCGGCATGTAGATTTGTTCAGGGCGGGACTCTTGTCAAATGTGTAAAATTTCGTGCAGATCTGGGCATTTACAGCCAAGTTACTACAACTTCCTGTTTCATGGCGAATCTTCGACGCCACGGACACGCCCATCGACGAAAACGCGCAGATAGCACAACTTTACATCGTCAATGCCTTTAGAAGGCACAGCAGAAATTTGAAGTCGATCCGACTAAATCCCTAGGAGGAGTTCGTTAAAGTACGGAGTCTGTAAATCGTCCAAAAATGGCCGCCAAATTCAAAATGGCGGACCTCCTGTCGAGTTTAGGGTATGGGTTCTTGAGGCTTTTTTGTGCGTCTTGATATGATACACGTCCCCACCAAATTTCGTGCATGTAGGTTGAACGTGGACGAGGGGCTAATTTTTTCCAATTTTCTAGGTGGCGCTAGCGTGCCATTTTGCCCCGCCCATCTGCGAAACCCACAAAATACGAAATTTTTCACCAGTCCTGACATGCGTGCCAAATTTGGTGAGTTTTTGAGCATGTTGCGGCCCCGAAAATGGCACTTACTTTGCAAAAAAAAGAAAAAAAATAAAGCTGCAAGCAGCGATGGGCGGGCCCTCGCACCTGTAGCACGTCGGGGTGTGAGGCGGCCGCGTTGCATATTTTGCAGCTCAGCCGGTGCGGCTGTGAATTTGCTACGCTGCTTCGTTAAAGGTCACTTCCTATTGCCAGCAGGTGGCGCTATGACTTAGGGTGAATGTCGGCATGTAGATTTGTTCAGGGCGGGACTCTTGTCAAATGTGTAAAATTTTGTGCAGATCTGGGCATTTACAGCCAAGTTACTACAACTTCCTCTTTCATGGCGAATCATCGACGCCACGGACACGCCCATCGACGAAAACCCGCAGATAGCACAACTTTACATCGTCAATGCCTTTAGAAGGCACAGCAGAAATTTGAAGTGGATCCCACTAAATCCCTAGGAGGAGTTAGTTAAAGTACGTAATGAGTAAATCATCCAAAAATGGCGGTAAAATTAGAAATGGCCGACTTCCTGTCGAGTTTAGGGCATTGCTCCAAGAGGCTTTTCTGTGCGTCTGGACATGGTAGATGTACCACAGAAATTTCGTACATGTCGGTCAAACATGCGGCGGGGGCTGCTTCGTTAAATTTCACTTCCTGTTGCCAGCAGGTGGCGCTATGACTGTTGGTGAATGTCGTCATGTAGATTTGTTCAGGGCGGGACTCTTGTCAAATGTGTAAAATTTCGTGCAGATCTGGGCATTTACAGCCAAGTTACTACAACTTCCTGTTTCATGGCGAATCATCGACGCCACGGACACGCCCATCGACGAAAATGCGCAGATAGCACAACTTTACATCGTCAATGCCTTTAGAAGGTACAGCAGAAATTTGAAGTCGATCCAACTAAATCCCTAGGAGGAGTTCGTTAAAGTACGGAGTGTGTAAATCGTCCCAATTTGGTCGCCGAATTCAAAATGGCGGACTTCCTGTCGAGTTTAGGGTAAGGGTTCTTGAGGCATTTTTGTGCGTCTTCAAAGGATACACGTCCCTACCAAATTTCGTGCACGTAGGTTGAACGTGGACGAGGGGCTAATTTTTTCCAATTTTCTAGGTGGCGCTAGCGAGCCATTTTGCCCCGCCCATCCGCGAAACCCACAAAATACGAAATTTTTCACCAGTCCTGACATGAGTGCCAAATTTGGTGAGTTTTTGAGCATGTTGTGGCCCCGAAAATGGCACTTACTTTGCAGAAAAAAGAAAAAAAATAATCCTAACAGTTTCAATAGGGTCCTCGCACTGTTAGTGCTCGGGCCCTAAAAATAATCCTAACAGTTTCAATAGGGTCCTCGCACTGTTAGTGCTCGGGCCCTAATAATCCTAACAGTTTCAATAGGGTCCTCGCACTGTTAGTGCTCGGGCCCTAATAACCCTAACAGTTTCAATAGGGTCCTCGCACTGTTAGTGCTCGGGCCCTAAAAATAACCCTAACAGTTTCAAGAGGGTCCTCGCACTGTTAGTGCTCGGGCCCTAATAATAATCCTAACAGTTTCAATAGGGTCCTCGCACTGTTAGTGCTCGGGCCCTAATAACCCTAACAGTTTCAAGAGGGTCCTCGCACTGTTAGTGCTCGGGCCCTAATAACCCTAACAGTTCCAATAGGGTCCTCGCACTGTTAGTGCTCGGGCCCTAACAATAGGGCCTTCACCCTTTCAGGGCTTGGGCCCTAACAAAAAAATAACCCTCACAGTTTCAAGAGGGTCCTGGCACTGTTAGTGCTCGGGCCCTAATGAAAATTTCATGTCAGGGGACCTTTAAGTGTGCTGACAGCTCATATCACCTGCCAAACAAATCAGACTGAGCGGATGACCGGTTTAAGATGGCGGCTCCACGGCTCGTCCGTGCTGGTCGATAGGGAATCTACCTATATTACATCTATGACCGCGCGAGCGTCACTACGGGAAGCAGATGTGTCTGACTACACGTTCCGTTTTCAGCTTCTCCTTCGCCGATCAGTTTTACATGTAAGCGCAGACGATGTCGAACACAGCTGTTGATTAAATGGAGATAAGTGTGAAGTAACTAAAATAATCTTAATTTCTAATGATTCAAGTATCTATATGCATGTTAAACTGATATGCTGCCGTCTCCAGCCGCGTTTTACTTTCCTTGGGAGATCAATACAGACCTGGTAAAAGATGGTGTGTCAGTGCGAACGTTTGGCAGGTCGGTCCACTTGTTAAAGTTGTCGGAAATGTTTAGGTGCGATTTTTATTCATGTAACCCCGTTATATCTTTAGTTTAACTGCTTAATAATCTATTCGAGAAGTGCTGCGAACTTCCGTGTTTGTGACTAAAAATGTTGGTTACATTTATTTGTTCTTTTGTAAAACATTTCATTCATGTGAACATTGAAAAAGATGTTTATAGAATTTGCATTTTAGGATGTAACTAAATTTAGCCTAAAATATAACTATGCTAAACAGATAGTTTTGTTTTGAACCAGAATCCAAAATTATTAAGATAGGTGTCACGTTCGGTGTTGTAGCCTCTCCAAATATTAGGGAAAACATGTTTGTGTTTTACTAATTTTATACATTTTCTCATTGACGGACAATATAGCAGAAAATGCTGAAATAATTACTATAATATATTAATAGTAGCCTACTTTCTATGGAAGCTTGTTTCCGCCATAGAATGAAAGATATAAAAGGTAATTGCGAATTTTTATCTCACAATTCTGACTTTTTTTCTCACAACTGTGAGTTTAGGCTACTTCTCGCAATTCTGACATTATTTCTCACAATTGCGAGATGAAAAGTCAGAATTGCGAGATATAAAGTCAGAATTGCGTGATATAAAGTCGCAAGTTCGAGATATAAAGTCAGAATTGCGTGATATAAAGTCAGAATTGCGAGATGTGAAGTCAGAATTGCGAGGTATAAAGTCAGAACTGCGTGATATAAAGTCAGAATTGCGAGTTATAAAGTCAGAATTGCAAGATATAAAGACAGAATTGCGAGATATAACGTCAGAATTGCTAGATATAAAGTCGCAATTGCGTGTTATAAAGTCAGAAATGCATGATATAAAGTCAGAATTGTGAGATTTAAACTATTCCGAGGGGGAAAAAAGTTAGTCTTTTTTTCCCCTTAGAATTGGCCTGATAAGTCGCAATTGCGAGTTTATATCTCACAATTCTGAGAAAAGATGTCGGTATTTCACCGGAAATATAAACTCGCAATTATGTGTTATAAAGTCAGAATTGCGAGATGTAAACTCGCAATTGTGAGAAAAAAAAGTCAGAATTGTGAGATAAAAAGTAGCACTTCTGTCTTTTTTTTTTCTCAGAATTGCCACTTTATATCACGCAATTCTGACTTTATACGCAATTCTGACTTTATATCTCGCAATTCTGACTTTATGACATGCAATTCTGACTTTATAACTCGCAATTGCGACTTTATATCACGCAATTCTGAGAAATAAAGTCAGAATTGCGAGATATAAACTCGCAATTGTGAGAAAAAAAGTCAGAATTGTGAGATAAAAAGTCACAATTATTTATTTTATTTTTTTATTCTGTGGCGGAAACAAGCTTCCATAACTTTCTGTAAGTGTGTGCAATTAAATTAATGCTCTGGAACCTTTCCACAGTTCAGTTTTAGATTTCTACTTTTGCTCCAAATTGTATACCATTTTTTAACACCATTTACGAAATAATGGATTTCATGATTTTGTCTTCTGTTTCTTTTTTATGCTCACGTTTAGTTTGTAGTCTGTTTCCCTTGTTATTTTTCTCGTTACCCATTTTCCATTTTGTTTCCACTGTTAGGTCAAGCCTTGTCTGTTTGTGGGTGTATTGTTGTGAGCTTAGTTCGCTTCTCTTGTTTTGTTTTTTTTTGTACTTTTGTTATTAGGCTACATTAAAGGTATAGCGGAGGATCTTTCAGAATTTTAGAGAAGACCCGCCCTCTCCAATTTTTTAAAAAAAAAATGCACATGCACAAACACAACACTCTTGCTCCCGAGAGGGAACGCCTATTACGCCTTGCACAATTATGTTGCAAATTCTAAACTAACTCAAAAACATTCATAAAAAAGACAACATGTCAAATGCCCTTCCGTGTTTTATTTACTTATTATACTGATCGATTGAGTGACCGAGGACTCAAGACATGATATGTGCAACCCTGTAGCACATGAAATACGTTCTGAGGGAACTATTTTGCATATAAGCAGTGCTAATGTATTTGCATTAACTTTTACTAGTGATTTTAAATGGATTTCTCCAAATAGCATGACAAACTTTACCTGTCTAGTAGAATCTTCGCGACTGCGGCATCAGTGAGAAGCCCAACTTGTGCTTTTAGCGCACGCCAGCGTGTGATATTCACCCAAAATCACTCTGGTCTTGTTTCTATATTCTGCGGCCTTTCTTTTCTTATCATACACTTCGTACACATTTTTTCTCTTTCGACCCTCAGCCATTTTCAAAGGAATGGCTGAAACCGTAACTCCGACATAATACACCTGAAGGTGAAAACTGCATAGGGATGAGCACGTACGATGGCCTTACGTAAACATATCACCAGAATGATTGACACTTAGGTGGACCAATAGTATAGACTACCCACCCGGAAAAAGAAAATCCTCCGCTATACCTTTAAGGCCCTGTCCACCCTACTTTGTTTTTGTTTAAAAACGGAAAATTAAAACGAATATGATCTACGTCCACACCAGCGTTTTATCTGCGTATTAGAATTGATCTCAGTCCACATTAAAACGACTGAAAACGTGGATCATGGGACCATTCACCAACACTGGGCATGTGCGTGCCGGTGCAAACGGTGGCTGACGAATCAGTGAAGGACACGTCACGACTGATGACACCCAATCATAGAGCCGAGCGTGAGCCTCTGTGTCAGCATTTTGCAACAAGTCCTCCGTTTTGTCCCATCTTCACTAAAACGCCCTCCGGAGATTCAAAAAGCAAAACGGAGCTGCAGTGTTTCTAAACTTCTCTGTTTTAGTCTGGACGGGAGGTGCAAACATAGCAAAAGGGCTCCGTTTTTAAACGAAAACGCAGTAGTGTGGATGGGCCTAAGGATCCAGTCGCTTTTTCTTGTCTCTTAGCTCTTTTGTTTTGTTATAATTGCTAGTAAATATTGATCAATAGTTTTAATTTTTTGAATTTTTAATCATCATGTATTTCTTTCGCTTGTAAAAATATTTAAAAATAAAATTTAGCTTGTGTCCATCTAGATTTACAAGTTACGTGCCAGAAGAGTCCAAAGCTGTTCTAAGTGGTCAGCAGTCCTCTGCACAGTGCCACGTGTCTGTAAAAACAACACTTGTTGAACCTTTCCAGCCCATACTTGGAGCTCAGTATTTTGTCCTGGGTGAAATTGAAAATACTGATGGTGAGTTTGAATAAGACAACATGATTAAAACAAGTTTCTGCCTAATCAGTGTAAATCTAGAGGCAGTTTCGTTGTTTGTACTCTGAATGTCTGTGTGTTTTACCAGACTAATTGTTTTAACCAGTATTTTTCTGTTGCTTCTGCATTCAGGATTAAGTGGAAATATACTGCATGGTGCTTTGGCTTGTGTTGATGGAGTAGACCTTGCACTAATGCAACAAGGCCATTTATGGAACAGAGACGCTTCTTTAAGGA